ATGACTTCTCATGGACCTATCCTATGACAAGTATGCTTGTTGTGGTCATCACTAGGAAAAGACTACATGACTTCTCATGGACCTATCCTATTACAAGTATGCTTGTTGTGGTCATTACTAGGAAAAGACTGCATGACTTCTGATGGACTTCTATTACAAGTATGCTTGTACTGGATTTGACGACATTGCTGTCGAGCCGGTCGCCTCCTTACCCCACCCCCGTCCTCACCTTGTTGTTGCAGGGGATGGCGATGTCGATGAACCGCAGTGGGGAGTCGGTGTTGCACAGAGCGATGACGGGGATGTTGACGTAGGAAGCCTCCTTGACCGGCTGGTGGTCAGTCCTGGGGTCGGTCACCACCAGCAGGCGGGGCTCCCGGAAGGCCGCCTGGATCTGGTTGGTGAAGGTGCCCGGGGTGAAGCGGCCCGCGATGGGCGTGGCCCCGGTGTGGCTTGAGAACTTCAGGATGGCACGCTGTTGGAGAAAGGAATAAAGAAAAAAAAAATAATTTAAACCTCGCCAAACTGTCATCATTTCAAAAGCATTTCTGGTCATAAAACTAAAGGATTCTTCATAACCGTCCTAGGCACTGTAACTCACAGGCCTGAAAAGAAAATTGAAGAGAGGAGACAAAGAGAAGCAATTTCAAGAGGTGGGAGGAAAGCCCTGAAGAATACTCTGGGTAAAAACCTCAGGAGTCAGATAGGGACTGGAAATAAAATCCACATACAGATCTCGAGAGACTTTGAGGCCAGTCCGCAGAGGTGAATGGTCAGGAAAGAACCACTACGCCAAGCCGATTCTTGGGTTTTGTTTGCAGTAACAAAACTGTTTAGTTTCTCAAAGCCTTGCATCTTTGGTGACCCATTTCTTCCACGTATAGAGCCTCCAGGAAATTGGGCGCTGGATTTGGGCTGAGGGTCTTTGTGTGAGCAGGAGTACATAAAAGGGATATCATAGCCATTACAGTTGTTTAGGAATACAAATGTTTCACTCACCTGTCCATATGGACGGGCCGAGATGACACAGACATCAGCTGGGTTCTCGATGGCCACAATACAGCGAGCAGCTAGCATCAACTTTTCCCAGGTCTTACGCAGGTTGATGATGTAAGTTCCTGAGGGGGTCGATGGAATTGAGGGAATTTCAATGTTAATACCATGAGTGCTCAGTGCTCAAATGAATTCAAAGTTGTGATAAAATAGCACACTCTACGAGAATTTAACGATGTTGAGTGGGATAAGATGATTTGCTGCATCGGTCAATCAGGCTACAATGTTGGTCAATCCTGTCAGAGTTCTTGGACCTTTACTTTTGTTTTAGAAAACAATCTTTCACAACCGTGAATTAGAAATGAATGGCAAAAGGCTCACAGAGGAGTTAAAGACAGATCATGCCAAGTGCTCCGCCGGAAGCCTAACCAGGGCGATATTTCCAATGGGCATTTAGGCAGCTCAGGTTTTTTCCTTTTTTACAAGTGGGTTCTGAGAGCTGACGCACTTTGGCTTGTACACATGTTGTGCACGTAACAAAATGTCATGGAGACACTTGTGGGGAGGGCACTGACTTCCACTAGGGCTCTGTAACCCCTCCCCATAGTCACACCAAAGCCAAATGAAGAGATGAACCAATTAAACAGTGGCTGGGTGTCCCTTACTTTTCCGCATCAGTTTTCGATAACTTATGCCACACCCATTCCAGCGACAGTCTCTTACCATCAGCCTTGACCTTGTAGACATACTGCTGCATCTGAAAGTCCACATTGTTGGCCCCAAGGTGGGTGCCGCAGGCCAAGAACTTGGTCACGTCGTCCTCCTTGAGGGTCAGGACCTCCGAACCTCCCGACATTCTGCTGTTGAGTCGGTATGAAGTGATGGGAATCAACCTGCAAGACACCAGGGACGAATTGATGAAAGTGAAAGCAGTGCTGTTAGTAAAACGGTGAAATGCAAGATAACCCGTAAAGGGTGACCAAGCGTGCGCCCCCATGACAGGCAAGTCAGACAAATTTGGACGTTTTCGGGACCAAGAGGTCTGTGATAGATCTGTCATATAGTAAGGCAGCTGACTGACTGCCTCTTCAAGGGAATTACCGGAACAATTGTAGAATACCCTGCCACCCAAGCATCGTACATCACAGTCGGTTACAGACCAACTGTTGATTGTCTATCCACACGTAACATGCCCTTCTCAATACATTCCGACTCTGTACTCACGCAGCCAGCAATGCGGTGGTCCATTCAGGACCAAATTTTTTTGTTAAACACTACCCCAAAGCTGTGTAGCCACAACAAATGGGACATATGCAGGGCTTAAAATTTTTTGTTCTCACTGTATCCAAGGGGCGGCTCCTCCTAAGGCATTGCCAGGTATTTGAAGGATTATGTTCAAGTGGTAGGTATTCTACAATTGTTGGAATGAGTAGACTTCTACATGTCTGTCTACTGTGCACAAACCCTATGAACTGGTCTGAAAAATCCCGTTTGTTTTTTCCTAAGACAAAAGCTTCATTATTTTCCTAACTAATGTTGACTTTATATGTCATCACATTCTAATTTATGCCACTATGAGGGATACAAGTACTGCAGGGAAAAATCAGTGCTATTCATGTATGGAATTCTTCCCTGAGAAGTTTGTGGTCACACTCATCCGTACGTTTCATGTATGTTCGTCCCCCCTTGATTCAACCCATTCATGGGCCGTTTTCCAATACTTAACTTTGTCTCCGTCTCAGGCTTGTCTCCGAAAACAATCCCGATTGTGGGTCTGAAGCTTTTAAATTTAAGTGAATAGACTGTAATGTTTGGCTCTTTTGCATCTTACTTGATGTTTTGTGGCACTATCAGACTTGCCATTGCGCTTATAACCTCAAAATCAGGGAGTAAAAATCAGTTGAAGCCTGAGCCAAAGTCGAGTATTGGAAAACGGCCATGCCATCTGCCGCCCTATCTTAGAGGGCGCCCTTGCTCTGCATCGTACACGCAGGCCGCGTCTACGTAGGAATGTACGGCGAGATTTCCCAGTAAAATTTAAGGTTAAACTAAAAACTTCATCAAATACGGGAATTGACAGGGTTGATGCATTCATGTCTGCAAAATGTAAATATTGTACACCTGTTCATACAGATGAATTAAAATTATTTACTGATATGATGGAAGAAGTGTGAAAATAGGAAAGAAAAAAGCACGAAAAAACTCACACGTGCAAACGCCACTGGGAGATTATTGGAAAAGGGGGATTGTGCTATACATTTTTCAATGGTTGCTTTCCATGTCAAAGAAGCGGTCGCCGAGTACCAGTTGAAAGGAACGCATGCTTTTTCGCCTAGAGAGGGGGCTATTTAGAGTATGTGGAGCGCTCATTCAGTTTTGTGAAGTTTTGTACCTTTGTAGATGTAGTCATCGTGATAATGGAACAGTTTCAACGGTAAAATAGAAATTGTGAACGTTTTTCTTTGGAAAATATAATTAAAAACTGAATTCACCTGTGTGACAATACCAGGAAGATATCTCAAATGGTGCATACATTTTAGGGGTGAATTGGGCTTGTTTACCTAGCATCAGCTGCAGCGTGGACACACCTTCCTCCATGGCTGCAGCCGGCCAGCCGTGGTGGAGGGGGCTGGGAGTGACTTTGTCTTTGACTTTGGAAGTAGACATCAGTTCTGAACTTTAATCTGTGCCTGTGCAGAGGTCAGGTGCTTTTCACGTTTTTTGAGTCACAAGATGGAAGGTGTATTTAGTTTGAATTAGCAGAATGTAAAAAATGATAGGGAAGGAGTTCCACATAGTAACGCCACTTGACACCTTCTGACCTAGGCCCCGTACCACAAACCCTCTGAGACTGGTCTGAAAAAAAGTGTTTCCTAAGTAAACGACTTGGTTTTTTTCCCTCCAAAATTGAACTTTTTTGGACATGTTTTTGCCGTCTGAAGGCCAATACAAATTGGTCACTGTAGGAAATAATTACTGGCATCTGTGTATTAACTCTTCCCAATGGTTGGCCTAAAGTGTTACAGTCGAAACTCATGAGAGCACCATTAATACAAGATTCTGCTTATAACAAGGACATTTTTTGGTCCCAGTTCTTTGTATTTTATTGTTTTCATTCCTGATAATACAATGTTCCTGTTATAACAAGGTAATTTGCCGATCGACTGTACTTAGGGTTGACTGTT